AGCATTAATTAATAAAATTAATCATTAATAACAAATACTTAATTAAATTTCACGTTCTATACACTTAGAATTGTAGTCAATCGGAAAAAAAAATCAAGGGACTTGGGGGGGGGGGCCGGACCCCCAGCCACTGCTCTCTGCCTATATATATATATATATATCTTGTTTAAATATAATTTCTATTCATTTATTCAAGTTCAAATACAGTTTTTTCAAATATTACTTCATTAACTAAATTAAAAAATGAATAAATAGTAACACAAAAAAATAATAATTCAAAACCATATATAAAAAGGAAAATCGCTTATTGTTTCTCTGTAGCGCAATGAATAGCGCGTTGGACTTCTAATCCAAAGATCGTGGGTCTGAAGTCCCACGGGATGGCCCAAATTATGAGAATGTAGTTTCATTTTACTATACTATTATTGCGATAATTAAATTTAATGAATGAATAAATAGTAACAAAAACAATATATATATATATATAGTCCAATACCATATATAGAAAGGGAATCGCTTTCTATTTTGCCACTTAATAGTGTGATTCTGTCATATGTATATACAAATTTACATTAATTGAATTATTTAATAAAAAATAACTAAAATAAAAATTTTCTTTGCTGACCTAAGTAGAAATTGACTTAATTTTTTTATATTACTTGTTATGAGAGAGAGAGAAGGTTTTTTATTTGTGCAGTGCTTTTTTATTATAAGTAAATAAATTATGAAAACCTATACATTTATTTCGCTATAAATTGTCTCTAAACGCCAATTTAAGGGCATTTTAAAACAAATCTGATAATAAAAAGGCTTCATACACACTCATATTAGAAGTGATTCGCACGTTCTAGCTATCTAAGAGAGAATAATCACAACATTAAAGCAACCGGGCACGAAGGCAACTAAAGAAGCATTTGGAACAATTTTATAAATATTCCCATAATTTTATTTCCCAGTTTGTTGCATCTTAATCGCTGCATTTAAAATCGCCTGAGGCCAACTAATAAATTTACATTCTGGACATAACATCTATGGATAATAAAATTCTGAAGCGAACAAAAGAAAAAAAAATGTTCTACCGTAAATTACCAGCGAGAACGATTTCCGCAGAAGTCCGAAGAACCAGATAACGAAGAGACCTTTCATTCCAGAGAAAATCGCCACCGGAGGCCAGGATTCGGGGGGGGGGGGGGGATGAGTTTTTTTTTTCATTGATATCCAATATGGCGTCCGGCCATCAAGGCTACCCCTTCTGCTCTTTTACTACTACCCTTCTTTCATTCAACTCATTCCCCCCGTTTTACCCCGACCGACCCACATGCAATCACTCGTAAAAAAAGAAAGAAAAAGTAGAACAGGAGTTTAAAAAAAAAAGAAAAGAAAGAGAGAACAGAATGAAGGGGGAGGGAGATTTTTTTGAGGGAGGAAAAAAAAAAAGTCGCAGGCTCCGATATATTGGCTTAAAAGGCTTCCGGAAAGAAGGAACGATTGGGCAGGGTCTTCAGGAAAAAAAATAAAGAGGGAAAAAAGGGATTTTTAGGAGGATAGGGGTATATACAGTGACGAAGGCTAGGATGGGGATCGTGCGATGGAAGGGTCAATTTATCATGGGGCAGGGAGGGAGGTGAATGCGGGGGTCGGCATGTGCATGTCGACCTGTACACTACAGGACGTTCATTTTGAAACACGCATGCTTGCGTTCTATTGCGCGGACAGACCTCCCCTTGTCTGTTTCGCTAAACTTTCCAATATAGACCAGATTCCAATATGGACGATTGACTGGCAAGCTTTATTATCATCAAAGGCCCTACTCCTTTGCTTCGCCATGCAAATACGGACGCACTCCGTAAGATTTACGAGGAAAAGATTTCGGACCGAACAGTACAAGCGCGAACAGGAATAAGAAAAATTCGAGGGGGGAAGGGGGTACATTGAAAAATGGAATGGTGGACTTTACAAGGTTCGCATAAGCGGTCCTGCTATATTCTGGAGATCAATTTGCTTTGACAGCTACGGTATAAGGATTTCCTCTTTTTTTTTCCTTTTCTCTCTTGTAAATTTCCATTATATGCTTGTAGAATTTTCAATAGGTCTTAAAAAGAGGCGAATAGTTTAATAGGATTGTTTAATATCTTTGTTATAGTTTGAGATTGTAAGATTGGTGTTGTAAAAACTTGTTAGCTTTCTGAATTCTTTGGTGGTAATTTAACTGAGCACGCGAAAGTTGAAAAAATTACGAATAGAGATTTATGCCATATTTTTCCAATCTAGAGTGTAAAAACCGATTTATACATGTTATCTGAAATTGAAGGGTAAGGGTTCTTATACGTTTCTTTATGAAAAACTAATTAGACTTATACCACTTTACTTTAAATTTAAAAATTTTTTTTAAAAACATGATAGATTTGAAAGAATGATTTTTTTTTTAAATAATTAAAATTATGTGATGTTGATATATTTATAATTCTGTCCAGTACTTTTTAAAAATAAAATGTCACACCGTACTAATTGGAATATATATATATATTAAACTCTCTTTCTCTCTCTACTTGAATCATATTTTTAAACTATTGACTTATATGGTTATGGAAATGTATATTTTATCATGAGCAAATCCAATAAACAAAAATTTTGAGCCCGATTAACTAAGATTAAGAAATAAAAAAATAATTTCCAAGTTTTTGTTTTAAAATTTTACTAACAAAAATAAATAAATAAATAAAAAAAGATATTGATATATATGGAATCGAACTATTGTTTATTGACGGCTACATTGGAATTGGATAATGGAATTATTGCTTGATAATAGCTACATTATATAAACTTAATAAATAATAATTTATTCCAGGAAAGCATTTAGCTTGCTTTCTTTTAAATATTCATATACACATTTCTGTGAGGTCGGCAGCATTTGACTTTTTCACTATTATAGTACATGCTAGTTGGTAACAAATGAGTAATAAATGCTCATTAACATGACAGAAAAAAAAATGAAAGATTTTGATAAAGAAGAAAGATTAAACAAAGACTAAAAGACACAGAAAAATGCATTCAATGCACAAATAAGATCAAAATATTCAAATTAGGAATTTTATAAATGCTTTCGTGATACGCTCTAAAAGAAGAACACTAATTACAAAAGATCAAAGGCGGAAGTGAGCATTCATAACAACAACAAAAAACGATATGAAAATAAAATTTAAAAAATCCATAATCAGTTAAATAAAATAATAATAAAAATCAAAGCGAATAGGATATGGAAATTTAATAAAATTCCCAGAAAAAGATACGAATTCATGATCCGACGCTAATTTAATCTATTCGATTTAAAAACAACATTCATTTTAACAGAATGTTGGAATTCGAATTATAAGTCGAAATAAACAAATATTTTCAAAGAACTAAAATGATTCGAAAAATCGTTTGCTCAATTAATCGCTTGTTATGAAGAATATCATTTCAACTGGGAAAAAAAATCCATTCAGCGTAAAATACTTACTATAATCTCTGTCTGTTTTATATAGTTACTACTAATTTTATAATAATTCCTATATTTTTTTATTATCAGTTGATCTTGATAGATTCTGTATTATTGGAAGCTAAAGTGGTAGTTTTAGGAAACATCGATTAAGATTACGATCTATAATCTAAACGCTGTTCAATGAATCGCGTAATTATCGTTTGGTGCTTGGCTTTCGTGCGACTGTCTGGCATTATTGGAAAGAAACAAGAATAAAAGGATTAATAGCTCTTATTCGGCATCAACACGAGTAAGGATATTTATTTTGTGTCCATCAAGTGTGACATTTGCAATCGGTCAGAACAGGGACGTATAATTTTGAGGCTAGAATCCCCGTGGAATTATTCGTTAAGAATTTAATTTCGACTTCTTTCCTATAGCTGACTGAAAAAAACATTTCCTTGTTTCACACATGGATTTTTTTCTCAGTTTTTGAATATTTTCAAATTTTTTTTTTTGAAATTCTTTAAAACCTAACAGAGCATTAAATAACGTTACCAATTTTTTTTCTCACACTTAAAAAGGATTCGAATTTAGAAGAAATAACTTATATCTACACTGAATGAAATGACTGCATATTTATCATTATTAATTTTGAAATAATTCTGTGGTATAGATTTGAGCATCATTTATTATTCTCAATATAAAAAATAATCAGTACAAAACAGTTAAAAATTCGATACTAGGATAATGATAAAAATCTAAGAACTCATAAAAGGTGGGGGGAAAAATATGAAAAACATTAATGATATCACAGATCTAAGAAAATCCTTTTTTTTTCTTCCTCAAAACAAACACTGATATTAAACATAAGACGGTAGACACTGAATTTGCGAAATCAGTTTTTTTCGGGGATTTCCAGAAATAACTATTAAATTTTCATTAAGAAAAAGAATTAGAAAAATTTAGAAAACTTCATTTAAATTATAATATGTAGCGTCTTCAAAGTAAAATTTATTTCTCTCAGCAGATTTCAATGAACAAATTATTCTTTTTCACGTGTTTTATGAAAATTGTGTTTTAAAGAAAATTTACGCTTGATAATATAAAAAATAGTGTTTAAATACGCAAAACTTTCAACAAACAATACTGGCTGATGCATTTTTCAGTAAACAGTAAAATATCTCTCGAGTTTCCATAAAAATGCTATTTAATTTTTAATTATACTCCTTTTTGATATACACGCCCATACTCAAAATTTCAACTTTTTATAAGATTGCATAATTCATACAAATTATTAATTCTAATACTTTTTAATTCATGTTTGAATATTCTTTGTTATTAAAATTCCAAAAATCTCATCTGTTCAGATAGAGAATAATTCGATTGTTCATCAAAACTTTATGTAATGATCAAACATACATTAAGTAAAAGGTTATGATTAAAGGGGTACGCGGAAAAGTTGGAGAACTGGTGCCCTGGAGTAGGGTTTCTTAATTTGTGGGTGCGTATATGCCTAGTCCCTAGGGGAAGAACTTGGTGGGCGAGGGAGACGAACATTTTAAAAAAGAATACTGTCGGACCCCAATTTAACGAATTCATTGAGACCGAACATGCTATTCATTAATTCGGGGTTATTCGTTATATTGAGGTTCAAACAAAATAAAAAAAATTTGCGTTTACCATTTGGAAATTCTATAAGCGACTACAGTTAGAAATAACGAATCTTTTCAACAACTAAAAATACTATTAGTGAACTGTCACGCATCAGTTAATTGAAAATTTTAGAATACTGAGTAATAGATGTTAGAAAATTTTTTTTTTGATTCCAGACTCGAAAGAGCTATTTTTCTACTGTATGCACAAAAGAAAATACTGCATCAATTATATCCTGCTGCATAAGAGAGTGGTATGCTTTCAGTTTTCAA